AGAGAAAGAGAGACAGAGAGACAGAGAGAGAGACAGAGAGAGAGAGAGAGAGAGAGAGAAGAGAGAGAGAGATGTGAGAGAGAGGAGAGAGGAGAGGGGGGAGGGAGAGAGAGAGAGAGAGAGAGAATGTTTATTTCCCAAGAAATGCAATGATTCCACCTTTGGTATCNAAAGTTCTTACTAAAAGATAGTCCACATCACTTTTTATTCTACGTTATCTAGCTATATCCAGGCAGAAACCCCCAGCATTATCTCAACGCAGTATTCACTTTAAGTCGTTTGATACAACACATATATAACAGAGCCTATTAAACCATACACACACACACACACAATGTGATTGTTGACCACACCTTCAATCCTACATATTAATTAGATGGCTACTTGATAGAAAGCCATCGTAGGAATGTTGCGCATCTCTTACGTAAATTCACGTATTTTCCTCTAGGCATCCAGCCAGTTTTTGATGTCTTGTAGCATCCTTCTACCAAAAGCACTAAAATCTGGAGTAATGGTTTTCTTTCTTACAGTGGACAAGAGAAAATTTATGACATTGTATCAGAAACGATTGAGAATGACTTTCCCACGTGGTTCCGCTCCGTGGTTGGGTACATCAGTAGCCCTGTGGTCATCCTGCCCGCGGTGCTGCTGCTTTTGTGAGTACGCATGCTAGCTTTTGGGGGGCTTCTGTGTGTTTGGCCAACAAGAAAACACTGCTTCCCAATAATTATATAAAATTAATGAGTTCATTCAGAAATCACTTACGGAGCCCGATGACCCAAGCAGGGCCTGAATCACAGACCAGAGTCAGTCAAGCCACTGTGCCATGGAGACAGCCCCTGGGTCTCAGTGAGGTGGGGAGAGGGAGCCCTCTACTGCCATTGAGGGGGTTATTGATCCAGCAGCAGCATTTGGTCAATGACGGCGGCCACTATAATGGGGTCGATGACATTATCATTATATTATTCTCCAGATATTTAAATAATCTTGAACAACTATTTCACACTTTGCTCATTTGGGCTTAAAGGAAAAAATGAAAGTGAACAGACCCAGTCCTCACAGCCTGATACTCTGCGACATCCTTCCCCCATCTTCATGCTGTCCTTACTGCTATCGCCAGTGCAGAATTCCAGTTCAGGGGAGGTGGCTGTGGAAAGCAAGAGAAAGAAAAAGCAGCAGCCCCTTCCCAGGGCTCACTACCTTGAGAACTCGCGGTGCGCTTTGTCCTTGGGAAGGGGTCAGTGGGTAGCCCACATTTGGCCTGGGAACCTCTCAAGCAGAAAACATGGCCTGGAAAGCCCAAGAGCCAGTTGCAGGCCACTGACTATCCTGTCTCCTTCTGTCCTAGCATGCTCATCTATTACCTTCAGAGCATTGCACGATCGTTAAAACTCAGCAACCACCAGCTCAAGATGCAGATCCAAAACGCAAGTATTACGTCACCTTTACCATTGTGAATGTGTGTCAACCCCAGGGCTGCAATCGCACCAGCATGAGAATAAAGTGAGGTCACATCTTTAAGCTACTGTGACTCTCGGCCACCCCTTCCCGAAGATCTCTGAGAATAACCGCGGATGGTTCACATGTGCCAGGAGCATGCCTGCTTGTGTTTTTCCTCCTCTGCAAGGGTCTGGTTGATTCCCCATGCACTTCCACACCCCATTGTGGCCACACCAAGCCCTCAGCATGCCAGGCACTTCTGTGAACTCTGGTAGACTGACAGGGGGAGAGAAAGACTCAATCCTATACCAACTTGCACATCTGAGCCCAACAGCACTGTTTATAACTTTTCCACATCCTTTAGATTCTGGCTGTCATTATCTTCTTTCCCATCTGGGGCTTAAACTCTATCTCTCAGAGCAGTCAGAAGAGACAAACATTCCCCAAACTTTCCACAATTTTTCCTCCTCTGCACACCCGAGGTGCTCTCCCGGGGACAGCACTTGTTAAGGCCAGATTTAAGGAGGTTCTCTCAGGGTAATGCCAACCCTGCAGTTTCATGACCCTGAGAGTGAGTTCCTCCTTAAACTCGGCACCCTGGGTGCCTCACCTGCCTCCTCCAGTCCCAGACTCCCATGCAAAAATCTCCTTCCACCTTTTTCAGTTAAGGAAAAAAAAAAAAACTCCCATGAATATCAATCATGCAAAAAAAAACCCACAAAAAAACCCCCAAAAACTAGTTTTACAGAAAGTCAAATTAGAAATTTGTTTGGAGTTGCAAAGGGCATTTTTGTGGAAACATATATCTCCAGCTTCATTGATCCATATTTTCTTCTTTGGAACTCAGGAAAACTATTTGGCAGAATCTAAACATGGTCTATCAATTAACTTCTCTAAATAAAACTGGCTAGGCATAAAACTTAATCACTCAGGTGTCTGCATTTGTTCACCCAAATAACAAGCCCAATCCCAGAGCATGATGTCCCCAGGTGGCAGCTGTAGCTCTGTCATGGTCCAAGGTATAAGCAATGACACATAAATCTTTTTTCCACAAGGACAGTATTTGTTACCGCTTCCTGTGAATTCCAAAACAAACATGATTATCATTTATATTTTAGGCCAGATCTGAAGATAAGAAAAAGGTCGCCCAAATGATGGAAGGTAAGTATAGAAAATGTGCAGAGATCTGATGTTAAAGGGGTTGACATTTAAAGATACAGCACTTGAAGGTAAGTTAAAGTACACTACCAGTAAGAATTCCTGATAACCTGTGGTTTTTCACATTTCACTAGGCATAATAAAACAAAACCTAGGAATGTAAATGTTGGTTTAAAACTTCAGTTTTTACAACATAACCAGGCCTATGAATAACCCCGAAATGTGTGAAATCAGAAGGAAGTTTTGAGGTGGGAGAGAAAAAGCAGCACAGTAATCTGGAGAAAACCCCTAAGAACATCTGTGCCTGGTTCACTTTTGTGTACTTCCCCGCAGTGGCCCACCGCTTCCTTGCAAGACCCCCTCCCAGGACTCGGCCACGGGGTCCAGCCTCCTTAGCTTCTGTCCTCTCTGTCCCATCCCGGCTAAGCAATGCCAGGTGGGCAGGCCCAACCACAAAAACAGGTGCCTGAGTCCAAGGAATCCAAACCCAATGACTCTCTAAGGACACACCTTCTCTTCCCACGCTCTCCAGCAGCACCTGGACAAACTCCTTCTCATCTAGGCTTACTGAGGGGCGGAGGCTGAAGAGCCACCCCATAGAAAGGACGAAAGCATGAGGACCAAGCATCTGGTCTGGCCCTAAGGGAGGAGAGTGGGCAGGTGCAGCTGGAGGGAAATGGGTCTGTCCCTGGGGAGCACTCCCGCTGTGAGCCAGGAAGCTCATCAGCACCTCAGCACCATCTGGATGGCACAGCCCACACGCTCCCTCAGATGATGAACGAGAATGGGACCCAAAGAAAGCTCTGCCTATGACTGACTCTCTTAGCTGCTTTAATACTACAGAGCTAATTGGAAGGGCCCTATTCCCCTCCAGGGAAATGCCTGAGTAAGTCATAAGGCTTTTCAGAGAGAAGCCTATAAAGGACAATTACTATGGAAAGTGACTTGGCTCATGCTGTAAAATCTCACTGTAATTGTCAAGGACTATTGACCAATTAAACATAATTAAGTTTAGTTCAGGACACCTTCAAAAGCCAGGATCTACATAGACTTTCTCAGGATAACAATAGTATTGTCCAGTGTTCATTCTTCGGTGCAAACCCACCTCTTTTTTCAGAATGCTGTCAGAATTGTCTCCAAAAAAAATCATAATTATTGTATAAGCTTTATTATATCCATTATATAGATAAAGAAACAGAGCCCCAAAGCTATTAAATAACCTGCTTTGCCTTGTGGGGGCATGAGATGGTGCACTGTTCAGCCTCTGGGCGCATTTGATTTCTCCTACACCCCCATCTCCAACTCTTTGTGATAAAATGATCTGAATTGCAGGATGTTGGCTGCGCATGGGTGAGGTGTATTTGCAAGTGCACCCAATTGTCTGTAGACCTAACTGCTGGAAGTTATGAAACTCCTGCAGCTAAACTACCTGATGTGTCACAGCTGGCCTTCTCACAAGCTCTCTCTCTACCTGCAGCTCGAATCCAGACCCAGCAGGAGAGCACCAAGAGGCTTCCAAAAGACAGTGACCTCATCAGCCAGCTGTCCTCAGTGCACTCGGTGACACCCCAAAACAATGGCAATGTGGTCAATTTCGACTCACTGAGCAGTAAGAGTGGCAGGATTGAGACAGTCACCCAATCTGTACCCCAGAGTCCCAGGCCCGAGCACAGGGATCTCAGCTCACCTCTTCGTGGCATCTCCAAATCCAGGCCAGAGCATGATACTAACAGGTGAGGCTTAACTGCGGCACAGAAGGAAAACTGGCCTTTTGAATGTGATGCCAGCAGTGGCCCAGAGGCCACAGAAGTTGCAGTAAAAGAGCTGTTGGGGATTTGGAGGACTCAACAGTTTCAGGAGGCCAGGGCCACTAAATTTCAGTTCTGCCAGAAGCCCCTGGTGTCAGGAGACTGTGAAAGCTACTGAGAAGAAGCAAAGGTGGTAGTTGGGTGGAGGGTGGGGGTGGTCAAAGTTTGTCAAACAGGATAAATTGTTCCTGTTAGGCTATCTGCCATAAAGCCTGTAAGCAAACCTTTCTGCCAACCTAGTATATACATTTCCATAGCCTAAGAAAATAAGATGCCTTTTTATTTATTTTTTATTTTATTTTTTTGTCCTTTTTGAGACCGGCCACACCGCACTCAGCCAGTGAGCACTGTGAGCGCACCGGTCATCCCTATATAGGATCCGAACCCGCGGCGGGAGCGCTGCTGCACTCCCAGTGCCGCATTCTCCCGAGTGCGCCACGGGCTCGGCCCTAAGATGCCTTTTTAATTGATTATCTTTTATTTTTTTAGTTCCAGACTACCATATTATTGGCAAGATCTTCTATATTTTAGCTCCAGGCTGGTCAAGTTATTGGCAAGATCATATGCATTTTATGAGGTCAACTGTTTCAGTCTTACTCACATATAAGGAAGCAGTAGCACCTGCTTCTCTTAATGGAGGTGGGACGTCTGGAAAGATGAAGGGAATAGAACTGCATTGACCCAGACTCATACGGAGAGTTGTATTTGATCTGAATGTAACACAGTGAATGCAATATAGGTAGAATACAGGGTTTTCCATTTTCTGAATTTTGGCTTTTTAAAAAGTCAATGACTAAGTTAGCAAAGAACTTGAAATCTTGCCTATATGAGGAGTTGTCTTCGTGTCTCTGTGGCGTCTTGACAGGGAAGAGGGATTCAAACACTCCTGGGGAGGCCAGTCAGGGTCAAACTAGAGCCACTGGAGGGATTCAAGTCTTTATGAGGAAGAACTTTCTAAGAGGTATAACTTCCCTTAGTAAAAAGAAAGAAAGAAACAATCACAATAATACATTAAACTTTCAGAAAAAGAGAGAACAGAACTGTGGTTATTAGAGGTGGGAAAGAGGGGAGGAAAGGAGAGTTGGTGAGAAACGAGTTAAGGGTCACAAGGATTGATTACATTTTGTAAACATGACTATACTAATTATCCTGATTTGATCACCACATATTGTACATATGTAGTGCTATTCGATTCTGTACCCCACATATATATATATATAATCAAAAAAATAGAATAAAATGTAAAAAAAAATAAATAAAAACAAATAAATAAATAAACGAGTAGCACATATGTAGTGCTATTCGATTCTGTACCCCACATATATATATATATATATATAAAATAAAAAAAATAGAATAAAATGTAAAAAAAAATAAATAAAAACAAATAAATAAATAAACGAGTAGAAACTCAAGAAAGTGCCCAAGAAGCTAGGCAGCTGCTTAGCAGAGATGAGGAGGAGCAGTGTTCCTGACATGTGGTCCCACTATGTGCTCCTCCACAAAAAGAGGGCTCCATAATGAAATATATTAGCAAAACCCCCCTTGCCCTGCACCCTCCATGGAGATTTGCAGTGCATAATGTATTAAGGGCTCTGAGAATTTCAGCAGTAAAGAAACCTGTTTAGGCCAGTTCCTCAAATGTTTCTGTGCACACAGTCCACAGAACGCATAACATTTTGGAAGCATGTTAGGTAAAAACGCTGAGGGGATCGTTGCCCTGGCTCACAGTGTACAGGTGCAGGGCTCTGAGACCACCAAGGCTGAGGATCCTAAACCACCTCTGTCTTACAGGTATCTACGTGGTCCATGTGCAAGCACAGGTAACCTTCACAAGACCAGATCCTGCACACCTGGGACTTTCACAAAGCACATCGAAGAAGTTAACTCAGAACCTCTTTACCGAAAAGACTTTCAGCAAATCAGCCCTCCTCTTCATGGACGAGGGGTCCCAGCCTTAGTGGCACGTGGTCATAGACCCCACACCCCCAGATATTATGTTGTTAATGAACGTGACTCTTACAAAAAAACCCAGCCAACTTTCTGGCCAGAAAGACATTTCCAGATAGATACCCTAGGTGACATTGTGGAGATGTACCCCAGAAACATGTGGCAATATGTGTCCCGGCTCCCCCAACAGCCTCGCTCTCCACAGCTGAGTGAGGAAGAGGAGGAGGAGGTAATGAGGAAAGACTTCATCAAACGCTCTTTCCCCCCTCACTCCCTGACAGACCTGCATCAGGCTCCTCACTTTTACATTGGTGAAAGGTCAGAAAGTCAGACCCTAGCTCCAGAGCACCGGCGAAGGATGCACTACAAGTCCTGGAATGATGGTTTTGAGGGTCAACTTGACAGGCCCACGTATGTGCACAAAAAGTCACGGTCCCGGAATTTCCAATACCCACAGCACCCTCCGAAGCCCAGAACCAAGCCCAAGTTTGAACCGTCCCTCACAGAATCTGATTCCATGTCTGCAGCATCCAGTAGCGACCAGCAGAACAGCATCATTGACCAGCACCTGCAAGTCATCCGCAGCCGGGGCAAGTCCCCAAGGTCTGTGGGCCACCTCAGCAGGACAAATGCCAAGTCTGGACAGGAGCTGACCATGGATCTGAGTGGCCTGATTTTCTCAGATGTCTAAGCTTCCTCTGGTGTCCCATTCATAGAGATCAGGCCCCTGTTGGAGTGCTGAGCCTTTCTCCTTCTGGAAAGAGAGATGAATACATGTTGTGGGTGTTAGAGGCTGTGGGGCATATCCAGGCACGTCCATTGGCTGCTGGCTGGGGCCCTGAGAGTCAGAGCTACAACTTCCTGTTCTACAGCAACCACACACAAGTGGGTCAGTCCCATGGGTCTCCTGGTATGCAGCACACAGCACATCGGACCATCGTTTCAAGAAAACCTCAGTCTTTTGTCTCCATTCGAGGTGACCACAAATCAGACAAGCCGGACATCTCATTCCAGCTGGAGAAGCCTCACCTGAGCTGACTGTGCTTGTCCTTAATGATATGAGTCTGTATTTTAAAGCTTTCTTTCAACATGCAAATATCAGTCCTCCCTAATAAGCACCCAGAGGTTGGGTGGCTGCCTTTAAAGATTTCACAATGCTTAGTTTGTAGGAATAATCAGTTTAGTAATGATAAGAGTAACTAAAATTTATTGAGAGAAGATTTTACTTTGTATATCAGGCTGCATATCTGTATTAATTAGGACACATAGATTGGAAATAATCCTAGGTTTATCCCTAAGGTTTATTGGTTCGTTTAACTGGGATGGATGGGAATCAAGCTGGCCTCAGGCTCATTTGGAGCCATCGAACATCATCAGAAATATCTTTTCACCTCTCTGCTCTATTTCTGTTGAATTTTCTCCTACTGCCAACAGGCTTCCTCCATGTGGAGGAGTAATTCACAGTCACAGAAAATGCTAGGTTTAAACCATCCAGCCATCCAGCCAATATGCCCAGAGGAAAGGAACAGGCCTCGAGACACTCCTAAAGAAAGGTCGAGCATTGCCAATACCGACCCAGGTTGAAAATACATTAACTTTCAACGCACAGCACAGCTCACATGCATTCTGGCATTTACTATTGGGTTAAGTATTTAATTTAGAGAAATTTAAAATAGTCAAAGACTAGTGTGACAAGCACCTCCTTATGGAGGTGCACCCTCGGAGGATCAACAACTTGAAATTTTATTCCCATCTGTCCATTTTGCTATTATTAATAATAAAGAAAACATTACAGATATAATCAAAGTCCACTCTCCTCCCTACACTAAGTCTCATTATCCTCACACTACCAATAGTTTGGTGTACATCCCTTTGGCTGATTATAGTTATATATGTTGTCTGTGTATGTGAGTATATATATATATAAGCATCCATAAACAATATGTAAGTATATGTTACTTTAGTAAATGCTATTATACTGCATGTATCACTGCAAATATTTATGTTTTTGAAGTGTATCAAAGAAATATATAGATCAAATCACTTATTATAACTGCTGCGTAGTATTTTATCATATGAATAAAATACATAATATTTATCCATTTTCTTATTGATAGACATTGAAGTCATTTCCACTTTGCTATTAAAAACAACGTTGCACTAAACATCTTTTTATGTCTTCTATTGCACACGTGCCAGTGTTTACTTTGGAGTGGATATTGGTCCTTCTAAAAGAGAAACTCCTAGCTCACAGGAGATGAACATGTTTAGTTTTACCAGCTGCTCCTTTAGTAGTCTTCCAGAGTCCAGGCCCCTGTGCACACTCCCTCTGCAGCAGATGAGAGGGCCGTTTTTCTTACAGCTTCACCAATGCTTGCTATTGTCACACTACATAATTTTCACCAGTCTGATGAAAAAAACTATGCCAAATTATTTTAGTTAATTTGCATTTTTATTGTTAGCATTTTTCCCTCAGTTGATTGGCCATCTGCATTTTTAAAAAAAACTATGCCAAATTAGTTAATTTGCATTTTTATTGTTAGCATTTTTCCCTCAGTTGATTGGCCATCTGCATTTTCTCTTCTGTGAATTGATTGCCTCTTCAATGCCTTTGCTCATTTTTCCACTGACAGTAGCCATCATCGTAGTGAACAGGCTCCCATAAAACTCCTGACAAAAGCACCCAGTGCTAACCAGTCATCCCCCTCCATTCCCTGAACTCTAGCCCTTTTCTAAATTGCAGCAACAGAAAGCTACAAACCTACACTGTCAAAATGCCTTTGCACTATTGATCTGTATCTCAGTAATGATCCATGGGGGTGGGGGTGTGCTTTTCTGACCTTAGGTCAAACTCTTACAGAGGACCTTACCTACAGTTTTATTAAAAATCTCTCCTAAAAACACCTACGTTATAAACTCCTCTCAAATCTCAGAGATCAGAACAATTATACTCATCAAATACAAAAAGTGAATTCCTCTTGATAAGAATAGTCTGGTAAATATTTTAGTAACCTGAGGATGCTTCCCTTGGTCATTCCTTATGTTTCAGAATTCATGAAAGCCAGCAAATTCAGAGAAAAGTTTACTGCATGTCTCTAAAAGACTAAATTCCCTAACCTAAGGTAGTATTTTCTGGCTACTGTTTGAGTGTGTGTGTGTTCCTTCTTTTTAGGGTTTGCATGTTTTTGTTTTCTTTTGTCTTTGCACATTTCATAGTAAATACTGTGTAACCTTACAGGAAACACGGTACAGTAAACCATATAGTAACATGTGGCCTCTGAAAATGGAAACTGGGTGTTTGCTACTGCTCTGCCACTTACTAGCTGTGTAGCCTTGATACCCTGTGATCCTCATTTTCTTAATCTGCAAAATGGGGATAGTAGTCTATATACCTCATCATGCTGTAGTACTGTTGTAAGGGTTACATGGCCTGATACAGGTAAACTGCTTAGGACAGGACCAGGACTGGTGGCTGGCAAATAATACCTGCTGAGTAAAAATTAGCTGCTGCTAAGTGAACAATAAAATGCTTACATATGTAGATTCACATAGCACCGGCCTGAGCTAACTCAGTAAACATGCATGCAATTCTTCATCAGTGTCTAAGTAGAAAACAGGTACTCCATTCAGGGGCTTTTAAGATTGGAGCACTTGGAACTTTGGGGCCATCTTCTCTGTGGTCTGCTAGTGGTTTGGGTTAGAAACTGCTGCATCCCCCCCCCCCCACCGCCCCACATACCTATTTAAAATTCAACTAGGTCTTCACTAAGGACAACTGGGTGACTCCTTTGGGGCCATCTTCTCTGTGGTCTGCTAGTGGTTTGGGTTAGAAACTGCTGCATCCCCCCACTCCACCGCCCCACATACCTATTTAAAATTCAACTAGGTCTTCACTAAGGACAACTGGGTGACTTAGAGGCATGAGCAAATTGTCGAAAAGGCTCTGATCAATAGAATCTACAGAGCTCAGTCACTCCTCCCTCCCCCTCAGGTCTGGGCTGCAGCCTCAAGCAAACTGCAAAACAGACCACTGCCCAGGCCCCTGTGACAGCTGTGTGGGCAGTTACACCTTCCCTCTGTTCTAGCCAGCTACTCGCCCTGCCCTGTGCCGGCCTCCAGTGGCAAAACAGATCAGTGGCCTGCTCCAAGCTGCCCTGACCTCACCAGTCTCCTGCTGCTAGTCGGCCACAAGACTCGAGGACAAATAGTTTGCTTCTCCAAATATTTTGTATACTCAGGACTTTGCTGGAGCAAAGATGAAAGACTCTTATAGTTCTTAAAAAGATTTTAAAACCTATGCTCCATGCTCTATTTTGATAAGTGTAATAATCTCTTGAATGTTTGATGTTTAACAGAAGTCACTTTCTACAGCAAGACTTACTTTTCCTCAGCTTTGTTTTCATAGTGTTTTATGCCCAAACAAAATTCTAATAGGCCCCAGCCTGAGAGGGTCCCAGGCTAGAGCTTTATAGACATTAAAAATTAAACTTTTTCATGAGGCTTTTTTTTTTAATTTAAAAAGTCCTACATGTTACTAAGTAAAGTAATTAAACAGTACATAATGATATGAAATGAAAAGGAAACATCCTTTGGCATTACTTACTACAGTTAACATTTTATTCTATACCTTTCCAGAAGTGAATATTCTAAACATACACATATACTGGTACTTCAAAAAGTTCATGGAAAGATTCATATAATCTTTTAATTCCATTTATCCACTAACATTTTGAAGTACCCTCATATATAATTACATATATAATTATAAACATAAAATATACAAGCATGTCTCTAGTTATTTCTCTTTCCCACTCAAGATATTTACATTTATATATATATATTGGATATTGTATACAAATGTTTACTGTATGCCAAGCACCATTCTAATTGTTACTCATTTATTAAATCATTTGACCCACTCATCTACCCTGCGAGTTAGTTCTATTATTTTTCTTATTTTCCAAATGAGGATGTTAAGGTCTGAAATGGTCAACTACTTGCCAAGGTCACGGTGAGTCAGGAAGCTAGATAGAGACAAGAGCAGGAGAAGGAGAAACTGGTTATTTGCAAATGGGACAAACCAGTTCTCTGAGCAGGCATGCACATGCACAGAAGTGACCACAAGAGACAAAGACAATTCCAGACAGGGAGCCCCCCACCATCTTGGGTGCCATACGGTTAGACCAATGAGCTCCTACCAGCTAGGGTGCCAGTCTCTTTAACCAATACTACAGAGATTACATTCAGGGCTCAACCAATGACCAAACGGCACAAATCCAGCTAAGAGGACTTAAAACCCCAGGAATGTAGCCATAGTGTACACTGTTGAGCACTCTTTTCTCTCGCTCGAGCCCACTTCATTTTCTCCAGAATGTACTCTTTCCTCTTCCTTTGCTAAATAAAACTATTTTTCCTCTTCATTTCTGGTGTGTCTTGTCCAATTCTTTGTTCGAGATACCAAGAATCTGGATCTAGCCAGTGAGACCTGGAATTTTCCTGTAACAATGGCTGGTAAGTGGTACTACTAGGATTTGAACCAAGGCAATCCGACTTGAGCATGGGCTTTCTTGTCCACAATGCTGTTGCCCTGCAATGTTGCCCTTCAAAGATATCAATGGATATCTTTCCTTGTTGGTACCCATCTAAAATATTTTATTAGGAGAGGGTAAAAACTTAAATATTTAGTTAAGTTTTAAACACCATTCATTTCCTTTATAGAAAGTAGATAGCTCTGGGCCGGCCCGGTGGCGCACTGCTACAGTGCGCCGCTTGAGAGCACGGCGGCACTCCCGCCGAGGGTTCAGATCCCACATACAGACCGGTTCCCGCTCACTGGCTGAGCGAGGTGTGGGAGCAACACCAAGGGTTGCGATCCCGTTGCCGGTCCCGGTCCGGTACGGGCGCGACACTGAGGGTTGCGATCCGTTGCCGGACACAAAAAAAGACAAAAAGGAAAAAAAAAAAAAAAAGGAAGTAGATAGCTCTTGGTTAGAATAAGAGTCTTCTCATATCAACTCGTTGCCAGACTCAGCCTGGGCCTGGACTCTATTGAGCATTTCCCGTCTGCTCCAGCCCCACCATCCTGCATTTGTGCTATATTATTTTAATGGCTACATAATATTCCACTCAATGGATAACCTGTAACTTCGCTTAATACATTGACAAATAGGTTGCTTCCAGCTGCAAGATCAATCTTCCACATCTTTGTGCAGGGGGAGTTGCTGAGCCAAAAACAAGTGAAGTAAAAGTTTAATATATTTTGCTATTTTGTTCCCAGAAGCTTGTATACATTTATACTCTTATCCATATAGTGCATAAGAACAACTATTTTTTCCTACCCTCACCAACTCGAGGTATTAACAATTTGCTTCACGTTTGTCCGTCAGAGAGGTGAAAAAGCATCTCCTTGTTTTAATGTGTGATTCCCTAACTATGAGTGAGGTTCTGCCTCTTTTTGTATCTTTATGAGTCATGTTAATTTATTTTTCCAAAGTATCTGTCCATGTGTGATGCCTTCCACTCATTTATTGGGCTGTCTGAAAATTTCTAAAAGATCTGTAAAAGGACTTTGTACAATAAGAAACTTACTCTTAGTTAAAATGTTCCAATTTTTTCTCAGATTATTATCTAACTTTTTATGATACCTTGAGGTGATTAATTTTTAAAATGTGATTAACTGATCTGTCTTTCCTTTTGTGTGGTTCCTAGGATACTCACATGCATGACTTCACTTGCCCTTTACAATGGCATGGGGAGACCTTAATGATCCCACTTACTATCTTATTTCACATTGGAGCAAACTGAGGCACAAGGAATAGTGGGTGAAACTAGGTCTTGACCTTGAGCTCCCTAATTTCCCATCCAGGTCTTCTTCATGGCCTGGCAGCCAATCACATCTTCCAAAAAGGGCTTTCAAGTCTTTATTTTGTTGACACCACTCTTCCAAACATTTATTTCAAACCTTTAAAGGAAAACAATGAACACACACACAAAAGAAAGAAAACATAAACAGACCTCGGTGCTGACCTTTTCGAATATTTACTGGTTAGAGCACTGAAGAGGAAATCAATCGAGGCTGCCCTTGCCACTCACACGGGGGCCGGGGGTGGGGGGGCCGGGACGCACTCAAGCCCTGCAGCTCCAGGCCACCTAGTCGCTGAGAACTCCCGGGGCCTCTCCCGGATGTCAGCGCATCGCACCGTCTCCTGGACATCTCCACTTACAGGCTCCAACTAAAAATGTCCAGAACTGAACCCCGCATCTTCCCCTCAAGCCTGGCTCTTCCCCATCTCAGCGAAGCCACCTTTGCCAAGCCTCCCCCTCCAGCCGCCACAGACCTCTACACTCTACCTCCTAAACACGCGGAGCGGGCCCCTCCTCTCCGCAGCCCCTCGGCCACCCAGCTCTCCCACCCCACCTCCTCGGGGGCGTTCCTTCCCCAGCCTGCAGCGGCTGGCAGACAGCGTCTGTGCACTGAGGGCACAGGCCCGCCCTTCTTACGCAAACCTGCGACACTGTCCGGGATCCGGCCCGGCCCACCAGGTCCACACCGGGGGCCGTCTCGGAGGCCCGGCGCTCCAGGGCCCCTCCCACCGCCGGACAGGCGCGCGGCGCAGACGACAGGACCGTGCGGGGCGCGCCCGGTGCCCGCCCACGTGGTGACGCTCCCTGCCCAGCGGAGCCCGGCCCTCTCCGGCCCTGCCAATA